ATGTAATAGGCCTGATGGTTAGATCCCTGATTATGATAGGCCTGATGGTTAGATGGTAGTATGTAATAGGCCTGATGGTTAGATCGCTGATTATGATAGGCCTGATGGTTAGATGGTAGTATGTAATAGGCCTGATGGTTAGATGGCTGATTGTGATATAAAAGTCTGTGATGGGAAGAGGACAGTTGTTTGGTTAGAGCGAACTCTTCACATGTTTGTCATATATCTATAAATATATATATTATATAGTCAACTGTTCCCAGTTGTTTATGTTGTGTGATGTTTGCATGTGTGTAACAAGGTCAACGATTACTAGGCACTTGGTTAGCTTCTGTCCGTAAGGGTCATCATTCTAGAATTAGACTTTACCGTGTAGTGGCCTGCAAAAAAAAAAAAACAACAACAACAAAAACTGCAAGTCTTGTCAATACTTCCAAGTCTTGGCAACAACTTACAAGTCTTGAAAACAATTACAAGTCTTGTCAACAAATAAATACTATTCTTGACAACAAGTTATAAGTCTTGACAGGAAGTACAAGTCTTGTCATCAACTACAAGTCTTGTCAACAACCTATAAGCCTTGTCAACAATCTACAAGTCTTTTCAACAAATTAGAAGTCTTGACAGCAACTACAAGTCTTGTCAACAACTACAAGTCTTATCAACAACTACAACTCTTTTTAACAATTCCTACAAGTCTTTTGTCAACAACTACAAGTCTTATCAATAACATACCAGTCTTTTGTCAAAGAATACACGTCTTGTCAACAATTAAAGGTCTCGTCAACAACCTGCAAGTCTTGTCAACAACTACAAGTCTACCTTATAAAAGATGCATAATATTAATTGTTGTCATTGCTGTGTCCTGTTGAATGTATCTCTGGGAGTCAATCGACACACAGAAAACTAACAAACAGACAACCGTCACACACGGTCAACCGACACACAGACAACCGACACACACGGTCAACCGACACACAGACAACCGACACACGGGACACAGTTAACCGACACACGGACACCCGACGCACGGTCAACTGACACACGGTCAACCTTCACACGGCCACAGATAAGCCCTATAAACACATAAATTGTTCACACAGCCGATACACTTGTACTGCAACCACACACATCCACTTACATGCACACACGCACACACTAAAACTGACACCGACGCACACTGACATGCACCCACATTCAACCTCGCCACACAGACGTCTCCTCTTACAACACGGACACACGTGCAACCAAATTACTCACAAAATTACCCACCCCACTCCCTTTTCCACTCACCCACAATCGCTGACAGACACGCATAAGTAGCACGTACACATTTGACCTATGTCCAACGAACATAGAATATCAACAAACAAAGAAAAAAACTTTTAAAAGAATTGCTGGGAATTTATTATTTCTATTGTTCTATATTTACGCTGCTAATACAACGCCTTGTTTTGTGGGCATTCTCTGTTTCGAGTGTTGTGCGACTATATATATGAATATTTACACACACACAAGCGTATATATGTGTGTGTGGGTGTGTGTGGGGGGGCTGTGTGGGGGTGTTTTGGGGTGGGGGTGTGGGTGGGTGGGTGTGTGTGTGTGTGTGTATTTGTATGTGTGTGTGTGTTTGTGTGAGAGTGTGTGAGTCACCACCGTTGAACTTCTTCTTGCGGCAGGTCTGACCCTTCATATTCGACCTTCGGCTCATCTAAGAGAAGAAAAACAACAACACAAAAACAAAAACAAAGAATTTCCCGGCAAAATAGGGGCGGAGGAAGAGAAGGTGGCCGTGGTTCGCTACGAGCGACACCTATTTTGGAGGTGGCAGTTTTTGGTCACGTTTATGTAGGTTTCAATTAATCAGGAGCGGCGAAATCAAGGACGCCCCTGGGCGTTACAAACTAGCTGCTCCACTGAAACTATACCCCTATACCCGATGAATGGGTCCTGAAACTGTCGCCACGACCTGGGTGTTAACTATTTAAAATTCTTGGCAACTGAGAGGATGTATTTGCTGACTTGAAAATAGCTGATCCCCATTAAAAATTCCCAAAATAACCCCCACCTAATTCCGGTTTTTGCTATGTAGCCTTTCCAGTTTCCAGCGAAATAATACCATAAAAAATATTTTATCATTTTTTAAAATATTTTTTTTCGAGGGGGGGGGGAGGGGGTTTGGGCGGTGTTTAACAACACATGTCAAAAATGTGTTAAACGTTCAATTTTTCCGTGAGTTTCCCAAACGATGGTTTCAGGTGTTTGTGTGTGTGTGTGAGCTGGTATCAATGGCCCATACGGACGTGTGCGGGAATGGGGTCACTTAAAGAAGGACAACTCCTACGTGATCCCAACTTGTTACATTTTTATGAGTTATCTCCTTTTATGTGAAAAAAATCTCATCCTTGCCAGCTGATGGAACCTGGGACGTCATGTGGGTAGTGTAGGGCAGGGTGGAGCATTCCCCCCTTCCCCCCCCCCCACCCCTGAATTTGCAGGTTTTATTCAAATTGCTATGTGCTGTGGTGCCTCCAGTAATTATAAACTTAAGAAGGCGGCAATGTTTTGGTTTTGCCTTCCATACCCCCCTTCCCCCCCCCCCACCCCTGAATTTGCAGGTTTTATTCAAATTGCTATGTGCTGTGGTGCCTCCAGTAATTATAAACTTAAGAAGGCGGCAATGTTTTGGTTTTGCCTTCCCCCCCCCACCCCCTGAAAAAAAACCCTGACATGACGCCCCTGGATGGAACGTTTGTAAACAAGAAAGAAAAAAACATGGGTAATAACGTCGATAGTGAAGCGTCTAAATCAGAAACATTTCAAACTTAGAAGTCATCGTACCAAATTTCAAATTTGGGCAAGGCAGAAACTGGTCAGCCAATTCGCACAGCATTTCATTGGAAAAAAACGTAAAAGGAAACCCTGATGTCCAGGCTATTAAAAATATATATATATTGTTAACCCTGAATTCTCATTAAATAATACATTTAGCCTACCCTAAATAGCCAATCAGTTTCAACTATCTCTAAAATTTGGGAATTTCAAGATATTCTGGTCAAAACCAATTCTCTGGACATTTCGATGCCTAGAAGTAGGCCTACAAATAAAGTCCAAACATGGACAGTCATTTTGCAAAAGTTTCATATGGACGTTCACTAACGAAAATACAAGATTCAGCAACGTACAAGTCTTGTCAATTTGGAGGTGAGCCCCGGGCGGCATTTAGTCAAGGATCCTTACTGTCTCAATACGCTCCACAACTACAGTACGGTAGATTAAAACCAAAACAATTTTAATAACACTTCTTGAAAATGACACGTGGAGGACACTCATGGTGAAATATTAAATTTCTTTGTTTTTTTTTTTTAAATTGAATTGAGCCAGAATAAAACGAGAAGCTTGGAGCTGGAGCTCGGAGCACTGATGCATGATGGTCTTTTTGCCAGGAGCTGGAAATGTAAAAAGAAAAAAAAATATTATATTATAGCTCCGAGATCAAAAATAATTTAATACATAATATTTTCTTTTTGTAATTTAAAAACAAAAAATTAGTTGTTATTTATTTTTTTTTCATTCATTTATTAAAATTGATCCCTTATTCTTCTACCAGCTATATTTGGCCCCACTCTTCTTCCAGGTATGTTGGCCTCACTCTTCTTCCAGCTATGTTGCCCACCTCTTCTACAGCTACGTTGTCCCACTCATATACCAGCTATATTTCCCCACTTTTTACCAGATATGTTGGCCCCACTCTTTCAGCTATGATGCCCTATTCTTCTAAAGCTTTGTTTACCCACTCTCTTACATCTATGCTTCTCCACTTTTCTATCAGATATGTTGTCCAACTCTTCTACCAGCTATGTTGCCCCACTCTTCTCTTCTGCGAGCTATATTTCCCTTCTCTTCTATAGCTATGTTGTACTTCTCCTCTACATGGTATGTAGCTTGTACATGGACTTCTAGCTAATGCCTAGTTAATAAGATGGGTATTTGCACAAAACAAACACATTTGTTTTTAAGCACTTTGCATCCTCACCCAAACCACCCCTCCACCTTTTTAATTTTGCCGGGGCTTGGGACGGAGCTGCAGCTGAAAAATATAAAGTCTGCTCTAAATTACTGGTTTAAGGGCAGTGCAATCTTAACATGGTAAAGTCTTTGAAGAGCATCGTTCCTGATTCTCTTTCTTTCAAGCGTGAAATTTGAACCGTGGAAATTAAGTAGGTCAGTTTTTCGTGGAATTGAGTCTACTATTGCCTGGCGATTCCAAAGAAACATTTTTATAAAATGACTGTTTTCGGTTTTACATTTTATTTATTTAATTTTTAGGTAACAGCTAATGCTGTGACAATCAAATCGTAATCTTCTCCATAAAATCTATATTTATTGGATAGATGTCTTTTGTTGCATTGTTTATTAATAAACCGGCTTCTCGAAACACCGCAAAAAATGTCTGGAATTATTGGCAGCCTCGGTTCCAACATGGCCAGATTGGAAATAAAACATTAACTTAAAATAGGTATCACTTTAAATATTTGTTTTTTTTTAAATTAGCATATTTTTTTCTGTCAAATTATATGTATTTCAATTGAATATTAAATTTTTTTTTTTTTAAAATATTATATTTTTTTCTGTCAAATTATATATATATCAATAAAATATTAAAGTTATATATATATATATATATATATATATATATATATATATATATATATATATATATATGTATATATATATATATTATATCTTGATTTATACTCCTTAACTCGAGGCATTTAATCTTAAATGATTTTTACAGCAAAAATAAATAAATGTATAGGTTCCTTATTATTTTACTTATTATTTTTCATTCAGATGTTTAGTTTAAAATACTCCTTTTGAACATCACATAAACGCAGGAGACATTCGAATTCAGTATTAAATCTTCAAACTTAAACGCCTCTTTAAAATAAACCATATTATCTGATTTTTTAACAATACCTGGCCAGTCGCAGCATCCCATATGAAAGTAGGTCAGTGGCTGATGCGAAGCTGGAAGAGAGTGGAAAGGAACCAGGTTTAGCACACATTAAATTTTCTACAATCATGTCGTCATGTGAGTAAAAATAAAATATTTCCAGGTTTTATACATATGTAATTTAAACTTGAGAAAACACTATGTTTCTTCTGAATGACAATAATAAAATAATCTCAAACTAATTTATGAGATGCCCATGAGCCATGACTGACGCCCGGCACGGTCTATGATGCTTGGTCAGTGTCACTCGCTGAGTCAGTGTCTGGTGCTCCTGTGAGTGAGTGATTCAGTGAGTGAAATAACCAAGCAAGACTAATTACGGCCAATAATGAACCCGTACTACCATGGTCCTTATATTTCATAATTATATATTTTGCACAAATTCAACTTCTTTATTTCCCGCACTTAAAAATTATTCTCTTCCAATCAGTTTGACGTTTGAATGAAATTTAATTCAGAATGAGCTGATGCATTCAGTCCAGATGAAATTATGAATAATATTAATATGATTAGCTAGTACTATAGGGTGACCAAATCATGAAATGGAAAAAACTGGACACTTTCAAGGACTTTTTTTGGGGGGGGGGGGGGGAGCACCCACCACCAAAAGAGGGAGGGGGGGGGGGGGCCCCCCTCCAGAAACTGTTCATTGAAATATGCTATGCTCATTTTAACTATGTAATCTAACCTAGAACTAGAAATCTACTAGGGCACTCAGTCTTTTCCTATGTTTCACTGATGTGATGTGTGATGAACGTTCACCATGGCCAATACTAAAAACATTATTGCAAACTGCACTCGGCTTCACTTTCATAGTGTCCCTTTTTAATATAGTTCCACTCTTTGGTTCAATACTCCTCCATAAACTTACTTTGACGCTTTGGCATAATTATTGTCTACATGAGAAGATAATATAAAATTTAAGAATAAAGTTCAACACCCAAAACAAACACTTGTGACTCTGACGCGAACAGGCCGGCAGGGATCACACACAAGGTTTATTTGAGCTAGGTGCTACTGAGAAAGTTGTCTGCATACTTAGTAGTTATTATTATTCTCTCTCACAAACATTTTAATGATATTTTGTGTAAAAATTAGCATAAAGTACTCGACTTGGGTGCTTATCCCATGAGGCATATTTATAGTCTCCATTTTTTACTAAAAATTCAAAGGGGTCATAAGCTGTTTTATTTCTGCTATGCCATAGCTATCAATTAATATGTTTGTGTACCTGCAGATCACATTATAGCCTGTCACTGGTAAAAATAAAGTTTACACTGTTGAAATAGACTGTTTAATACCATATTGACCATGTAAAGTCAGATTTTTGAAACAACGAATGAGAATGTGGTTTGTAAAAACTACCAAGTCACCTGAGATTAATTTTTATAAAAAGCTGTTTTTCTGTAACATCATTTAGGCCTAGGAGCCTGATTTTAGTCTAGTAACCACAGCAAGCTGTATGGAGGATGGAAAAGGAGTTGCTTTTGAGTTCTAAAAATTGATGCCAAATGATATGCAGCTTACTTAGAGGATCTTATAAGATATGCCAAACTAACATTGCTGTGGGAAGCATTACAAAAATGGAGAGAAAAACATATCTAGTTCTCTTCATTTTTGCAATTAGCTGCGGTTCAGCCAGAATTAAATAATTATGTCACACAATGACTTTATTCAGCTAGGAAACCAACAAAGCAATTGTTGAATTACATCTTACTATTATTAGAAAGACCTTACCATCGCCTAGACAGCCCTAAAACATATGCTAATGTGCTTTTCTTAGACCTTTCATCAGCATTTGACACAATCCAACAACCCCACCATATGATTCAGAAGGTTTATTTGTAAGATGTAAATTCGAATGTTCAATCCTGGAAACTGAAAATTTTAACCAATTGTCCACTATATGTCAAGGTGGCTGACCAAATATCATTATCTAGACAAAGTAATACTGTGGTGCCACAAGGTTGCACTCTCTTCCCTGTTCTGTATACAATATATACCAATAATAGTCAGTGCCCAAGGTAATACAGTTTCAGCATGAACAAACAAGTTACTTATTTTACAGTGCAACTATTGGAACTAAGCTTCAGTATTACCTGATGGTTTGGGAATTCATCATCTAACTTCAAATACTGATTATCCGGTACATAGACTAATCAAGAGAGCTAGTTATATCACTCAAACTAAACATTTTTCATTTGAAGACAAATGATATTGTAAAATGAACAAAAAATTGAATGATATATCACACCCTCTACATCACAGATACCCAAGATCAACACAATGAGGGTGAATTTTGTTCCCTTAAGTAAGGACAGAAAGACATTAAACTTCTTTTGTTCCCCAGTCTGTAAGATTTACCTGAGTGCTCCAGCAGCATTTACTAAATCTAAATGATGACTAATTAAATCATTATTGTTGCTAATGGAGTTTATTATTTAATTATTTGGGGGGGGGGGTAAATGATGGCACATTTTTACAATAGAGTAATATTTAGATGACTTGTGTTAAAATTGTTCTACTTGTAAAATGATGTCTTGATTAAAATATATATTTATTTATGAGCTTAGTTGAAATTGAATATGTGCAATGTAATAACATCTTCTACATCAACATTACACCCCTTACCTTCTCAGTGCGTAAATAATATACTTATGGATGGTTCCCAGCCCATCCTATTTCTCGTTCCTTACACTGCAGGGTGTAGAAAGGGGTTAACCAGGGCCAATGTAACCAAAAACAGTAGTATACCTGTAAAAACAGAATCAATGGTCACCTTAATTATTAGGGGTGTGCCGGATCCGTTTTTTCCAACCGGATCCGGATTTTCTTATGCGAAATCCGCCGGATCCGGATACCGGTTTCTCCCGGATTCCGGATTTTGGTACTATTGGTAGATACTTCGGTAAGTCAAGGTGGACTACTACTTTTTGTGTATGGGAATTCGCAATCGGCGCCAAAAAATCCGAGTTTTTAATTTTCCGATGTGTGTGTCTATTTATTATTAAATTAGTACTTTCGATATATATTTGAGTTCCGTTCCATTTGGATAAGTGTCTTACGAGAGACGCCATGTTTCTACGCGTTCGCAGCAGGTCATGCAGCTCGCTCAACCTAATTTCGCCATGGGGTTGGCCACGCCCCCCTTTTTAATGGCGGAAGTTGACGATACTTAGGAAATATTAATTTATTATCACTATTTACATCAAAATAATTGATAACTTGTGTTTCAGAATGCATTTAAAGACATTTAAACTGGAATGTTTTAATTTGAGCTTTAACAACCCGGTAGAATCCATATTATAAATGATCAGAATTTACCGTGTGCAACACGTTGTCATTGGCAACCATTCACAGCCACTTGCATAACTGTATCGTAGTACTACCTCAGAGTTTCATTCATAAGAGTTTGCCGTGTGCAAAAACTATTAAACCATTGGTCAGGGAAAGCTTTAATTAATTATTCATGTGCCAAAGTTGAAAGTTTAAACTAAGTCTAAACAGTATTTTAGTGATAAGGCAGGGAATGCGTTGCCTTATATAAACTATATAGTCATTGCGCATGACGGGATTGGTGGAATGAGATCACAGAATGTGGAGATGCAGTCCATGTTAAAAAATGACAAACCAAGTCGTACTTTAAAAATTCATAACTTTAAAACTACAACAGCTAAAAATATGATTTTGGTGTTATAATTCTTTAAAAAATTACATCTTTTCAACTATGCCATTGGTTTATTTTTACAAAAAGTTTACATTTTCTTATCAAAGTCCCTACACTATTGGCCACTATTAGCGGTGCTGACTCTAGCCTCTGGTATGTACGGAATATTAAACATTAAACAAGCTCAACGCTCGAAACAATCGATTAATGTATCGTGATCGTGTGAAATTCGGGAAAGAGAATTACTTTTATTTCAGATTATGATCCGGTGAGTCACAAAATCTGGCAAATTCCGAAATCCGGATTATTCCGGATTCCGGAATCCGGTTGTTCCGGATACATGTAAATCCGGCGGAACCGGATTTCACCGGATAGTGCAAAATCCGGCGGAACCGGATTCCGGACCGGGGTCCGGCACACCCCTATTAATTATGTACTGAAATTGCTACATCATGGACCATAAATCACATACTATTTAAAGTAAAACATTTTTATCAATCAAAACATTCATTTATTCAGATAATTCAGAATTCTAACATTGCCTCAAACTCCACTCACAATCCCCATACCCAACAACATTCAAAGGCAACACTGATTCTTATCCCTGACTTCCATTACGAATGACATCAATATTTAAGTTACTGTATCTCAAAGGGTTCCAAAGAAAATTTGAAGTCAGTCATTAGTACTAGTGAAAAATTTGGATGAGCTGTTTGAGAAGAAACTCTTGGTTCAGAGAATGAATTATATTTTGGATACAAGAGAAAGGTCGCTCTGTTATAGAATAAAAACTATAACGCATTATATTATCATGCAGTAGAGTATTTAAAAAATGCATTTTTTCATGGAGCAGTGATTAAGTTCTGTTAACATTCTATGACATATTAGACTCCATTCTCTGACACTGTGTACAGAGGGAATAGCCAGACTGCAATAATCAATAATGCAATGCATGTTAGGGGTATGAATGGCTGGGCTGAGGTGGAGCATTATGTCTGACTGATGGCAGCACAAGAGGTGAGGAGTTGGGAAGATCAGGGGGAGAGAATGTCTCTCTGACCTTATGTTGGCAACTCCTTATTATGCCTTATAAGGGTATGGTAGTTATGTTGAAAACAACTTGGTACAAACTGGGTGTTGGCAAATGTTTGTTTAAAAATTGAATGTTATATCAAAGTAGAAATTTGATAGTTTAGTAACGATGTGCTTTAAAAAAAACAAATTTAGAACATTGTTGTTTTTTTTTCTTAACTCAAGTTTAATTGACTAGTTTGCACATCAGACAAAAAGAATTAATATTTATTGTTTACATGTTACGGCGTTGTATCTGAATGATAGTTAGGCAGACTAGAGCAAACAATCTCTTTTCACCTAGTTAGGTCATTCGGGGGAATGGCCTGAGGAGAAATGAGTCATTGTCATACTGTATCACATAGATGAGATCACCCTATTGATTACTGAGCTGAAGTATTGATTATTGTTTGTCTTTATATTATGTAGGTTTATGTGTTTTAGAATGGAGTAAAGTGTTGACTTATTAAACTTACTTGTGGAAATTATAAATTATGTATTTGTGGATTTCTTTTCCAAATCATGTTTTCAGTGCTTAGCTTCTCCCTGTTCTGGCTAAATTAGAATTCTCCATGACAATTTCTGTCAGTCTCTGCAATGTTATGTTTATTGTGAATGCTCCTTCATATTTTACCTGTACAGAGTATATATTGTTGAACATGTACTCCTTTCTGAACTTAAATGTGAATAAAAATGAAAGATTTGATGCTGCACTAATATTCTCTTAGTGCAGATTTATTATCTCATTTAGTATGCACAATTTACACCGGGTTATGGTTGGATATAAGGTTTTTTTAAATTATAGAAACTGAAGTGTTAAATTTTTGCTAGAAATTTAAGCAAAAATGAAAGAAAAAATTGGGATTATTAACTGATATAAATATTTTTTGTAATCTATTGTTATTTAAATTGCTTTCTATTTACAGGGGAATAAGTTTAAGGATAAGAATATATAAATATTAAATGTGTTGATTAATATCAATAAACAGGAGAGTAGAGTTTGTATCAAATCACTATGATATAGTTTTGAACATTTTCCCTGTAATCCTCTTCCTAAAGCAGCCCTGAAATGAGAGACTTTGTTTCATTGATCCTTATTGATCACCTTTCTGTTGCATGCCATGCTCTGCTTAACCAAGTGTGGTTACCCTCACAGAACATGGCAAGCTGTGCTCTCCTAAAGCATGTGCTGTTGCATGCTGTGCTCTGCCTAACCAAGTGCTATTGCCCTCACAGAACATGGCAAACTGAAGTGTTACTTGATGGGGTGAAGTCTCTACTGAGAGGGATTTATAATTTTGTATATTCTTATATACACTTGTTTCATAAATCAATTTTTAGAAAATTGTCTATAGGCAAAGTTAATGTTCTGCTCCAGTCATTGCAGCTTACAATATGGAAAAGACATTGATCCTATTTGCAATTATTCGTTTAGCCTGTTATTTTATATCCAAGTTAAATGAAGCATTTAACCACTCTTGAATTCATATTTTATTTATACAAGTTCTATTTATTACTGACAGAATTATTTTTTTAAGCTAAAGTAATATTCATAATTCATAGCAGTACTATTTCTGAATGTTTCAAACATTTTCACCTTTGTATTTGAATAAAAGCAGTGTAAATTCATCCTAAATGAAAAATGAGGACATGTATATATTTATCATAGTAACCTAACATCATTGTTTTGTCATTTATGTATTTCAAAATCCATCAAGTCAGACATGTTTGTCATTTATCTGGACTTATTCCCTCACTGTGCTCCAAACACTATTTACAATGTTAACTTTGCAACTCACCCAACTAAGTTGTTTGACATTTATGTTCTTGCACTCTCTCTCTCTCTCTCTCTCTTTCCGTGTGGTTGGCTTTAAAAATAAAATACACCAAGGAGTTATTATTACTCACTCCTTACCATATGATGTACTTGCATTTTGGCTATCTTCTGAAGAGCATAGTGTAAAATGTGAGTGTTGGGTTAAATTCACTAACCTTTCTTTATGAATTAAACTCTTGTCATCAAAAGGAGTTGGACACCACCACTACATTTTAATTTCATTTTTATTTTGTCTCTGAATGTGTGTGTTTATATATATGTTTTTTATATTATATTAAAAGCAGGGGGTGGGACATGTTGGTGGTTGAGTTGTAAGCAGTCGGTTCTTGAAATATCCTACTAATGTGGAAAATTAGAATAATGTGGAATAATTTATTTTTTGTGTGCATAAATAAAATTAGGGAAATTTTCAGTATGCTTTGTTGCTAATTTGGAAGTGACGAGTTGGGCTGTAGGTTTAGAGGGAGCCATTATTATGAAACTAAGCTGAGAGAACATTTTCTTGTAAATTTAATGTGCTGAAATGACTTGTATAAATCTGAAATGAGTTACTTTCAGACCTTTTTATAATCCTCACCCCCAACAATTTGTCTAGTCTTGCACACCTATGAATTGTTTCACTATGTCTCGCTGCCCCTACAAAAAATAGTAATGCATTTTCAAATTTGTATCTAATTTAATGGACTTTTATCTAGCTATCTGCAAAGAGAATAGTTGAACTTAAAGAACAAGCATGTTACTTATTATACAAAGTTCATTAATGTTATACATACTGTTACAAGGTTTAACATATTTAATCTGCTTTAAGATTTGGCTCCTTAGAAAAACAATGCATAGCAATGGACTGAAAACCAGAATACAAAGAAAGACGATACCAAAGCTTGTGATATTAACTATAATCAATTTAACTGTATTGTTAAATTTATATCATAAAAATAAAAAATAAAATATACATGAATAAAAAAAAAGTTGTTAAATTAAATCACAGTACGTGAAAAAAGTATAATACTGGAAAGGTACAAATGTTAATCCACACACACTTTGAAAAATCTAGTATGTCTTGTAGGGTTCCTGTTAGTCTGGTAAGTCTTCTAAATAAGTCTGTTAGTCTCCAGAACAAAAAGTCTAGAAATTCAAGCCCAGAGAGTATTTCTACTTCTTTGAAGAACAATGTAGACCTTTTGAAACTTTTAACGAACTTTCCCAATCATGGGTGGTGGTGAAAAGCAGTGTCGGAGTTAATTGGTGACACGTAACCAAAAAAGAGGTGGGAGGTAAGGTTGCATGCCACGCTCGTGGTGAACAAAAACTAGGTCTATGCAGGCTAAATCAAAGGAATTTGTTAATGACGAAACAACATATAAACATTTATATCGTAACCTAAACGCTAAATCTCATCTGTTCTTAAACCCCTGAAATACAAACACCCCAGGAAACCCTGTGCTAATTGATCAAGTGTCATATTTTTTTTTTTACAGCATAAATATTTGAATCTGGTGCCAATTTCATATTACTACATTAACCTTTGTTTCTCTCATTTCCTTACAGTGGTTCTTATTACTGATGCTACCAACTTCACATCTGCACACATTATTAAGCAGCTACAAGAAGAAGGCTATCAAGTCAGGGGTACTGTGACCTCATTGCAAGACGAAGATGCCAGAATCAAACAGCTCCAGGAACTTGTTCCAGAGGCAAAGTTTAAATTGGAAATTGTTGAGGCAGATCCAGCTAAACCTGAGACATGGGAAGAGTAAGCAATTATTTACTGCTATTAAAAAAATTTGGAACCTATATCTAGGCTAATTATAATTTAAAGGGTTGAAACCAGGATCAGTTGTGTAGCCAAGAGAGGGGTGAAAGGGACATACCATATCTGGAATTTTGTTGAAATGGATATTGTTCTTCCCAAGTTTCTTGGAAATTAAAGTTCTTTAATAGTTTTATTCGATTACTTTTTTTTTTAATTATAAGGAGGGAATGGGCGAAATTTTAATTCAATTTTTTTTTCCCCTCATTAATTTTATGTTAATAAGCAAAGTTCTGTGATATAGGTTGCCTAACTGTATTATATACTATAAGTCTACAGATCTACTATGAATTATAGTGATATTTACTTTTATTTGGTATAGTCTTGCAGATCATAATTATTTATGAATTTATTTCAGGGCCATAAAAGAAGTCCAATATGTCATACATGCAGTCAAGCCAGTGGCAGCTTTACCACCAGCAGCAGAAGGAGAAGCACCGGTGCAGCCTGCTGTGGAGGCAGTACAAAATATTTTCAAAGCCAGTGTTAAATCCACATCTGTTAAGAGAATTATTTTAACCAGCTCTTTCCAAGCAATCACAGGTAAATTAAAGATGGTTGTCATAAATTTTCATTTACAAGTAGCTGCAACAAAAGCATGAACAATGTGCCAAGCTTAGATATGGGAAACTTTGTTGCTTTTTCCTCACGTTTTTATAAGAAAGTCTTCAATTTAGAGCAGCATCTCCCAACGTCTCTATATGCTGAGCCTCCTACCAATTTTTTTGACTCGGTCTCCTGCAATTGAAAACAAAATTATACTTAATAATAATTTTTTTTAATTTCATGACTTAAACAATAAATCACATCACTTTTCGTAGGTTTTCCTTTGTTGGGCAATACTTGTTTAGCTCTCTGCAGTCTGCCATATTTTTGTTTCACTTGTGCTAAAAATTTAAGATTATTTTTTAATATTAATTATTATTTAGCTCACCCAAATAGCTCTGAACTTAGTATATAGTTTTATATATTAACCTGCTCAGCTTTGAGTGGGCTATTGTTGGTTATTTTTTTTTGTGTATTTTCTTTAATTAGCATTTAAAAATACATAAAATAATATTGGAGTATTTTTTTTTTCCCTTAGATGTGCAATTTTTAACAAAAAAAATTACTGTATGAAGGAAATAAAAGTTTCAAAATTTATTAAATTGATATACAAATCATAAATAAACATAAAAAAAAGTTTGTTTTTTTTTTTTTTTTGAAGTTATAATTTTTTTAAATTTTTAAAAAATTACGCATAAAATTTTTTTTTTTTATTAAAAATTACGAATTGTTAAAATGGGCCTTAAAAAAATGGATAATGCAGTTTATTCTATAACTGTTATGATTATTAAGTAAACTAATATAACAGTGCATTTTGATGACCATGTTATAACTTCAAAACCAGAAATAAAAATTAATGTTTTTGAAAGTATTTTCAACATACCAGTAATACTTGAACTGTCACTAGCTAAAAATTAACATCATGCCGTAAATTCTTGCTGTAATTGATGTTATTTCCCAGTACTTTGTGTTTCCCTCAGCTGATCTCCCTACTTCCCAAATATGCCTCTACTATATATTTTGTTGTAATCCACAACTAACACAAGCTGACAAACTTACAATATGCCTGAATTATCTTTACAGTGTCTACATACTGGTTTTGTTTATTTGACTGCATTTTTGTTATACATTGTACTGGACTTTCTCCATAGGATTAGGAAATATGTAACCTCATCACAGAAAAATTAATCAAAAAAGAATCTGCGAAATAAAAGTGATTGATTTATGATAATCTTAACTCTAGTGCTAAAGGTAGTCCTGATAAACCGTTATAGAAATAACTTTATTTATTACTGTAGCCTACATGGTAACATAAAAGTAAACTATTAATACAAAGAAAATAATTTACAACCTATTATTTTATAATAATGTGGTTCTTTGGGAGCTTTTGCTACCATACCTGCAGATTAGATTGAAAATGCCAACCATGGTGTTCAGGGTACACTGTAACTTTATAACACAGTAAAAGGGCTTAATATAATATTTAAGATGAATAAGTGTATACAATATAATATTTATCTCACAGAGCTGTGCTATTTATCAATCATACATTTATTAAACTTGTCAATGATTAAATATATGTATATCTATTTAATAATATAGTTTAGACAAAAAAAATATTGTTGCAAAATGGATAATTAAAAGTTATTCTTACGTGTTTACGATAACATTAGGCAGTTGCTTATTATCCAAATTGAAGTAAATTCCATGATCAAATTCTAAATCTGGTGAGAACAAATATCTTAAGCATAATTAGCAAAATAAAAACCAATTGAACATATTTTCGTTGTTTGGTGACCGTAACATTATTTAATTTTTCGGTAACCCACTGCATTGTCAAAAACTTCTCTTCTTGCTGAATAAGTTTCTTATAATAATTTTGTTTTAATAGAAATTTCAAATTTTTTAAATTCTTTTATTTTTTAAAGATAATTTAATCAATAAAACAAAATATAAAACTAAAAAAAACTTATATTTTCATGAAATAATAGACCTAAACAAAAATAATTATCCCACCACAGACGCCATCATTCTTAAATGGATGGTTTGTAGGGGTGTGCCGGATCCGTTTTTTCCAACCGGATCCGGATCCGGATTTTCTTATGCGAAATCCGCCGGATCCGGATACCGGTTTCTCCCGGATTCCGGATTTTGGTACTATTGGTAGATACTTCGGTAAGTCAAGGTGGACTACTACTTTTTGTGTATGGGAATTCGCAATCGGCGCCAAAAAATCCGAGTTTTTAATTTTCCGATGTGTGTGTCTATTTATTATTAAATTAGTACTTTCGATATATATTTGAGTTCCGTTCCATTTGGATAAGTGTCTTACGAGAGACGCCATGTTTCTACGCGTTCGCAGCAGGTCATGCAGCTCGCTCAACCTAATTTCGCCATGGGGTTGGCCACGCCCCCCTTTTTAATGGCGGAAGTTGACGATACTTAGGAAATATTAATTTATTATCACTATTTACATCAAAATAATTGATAACTTGTGTTTCAGAATGCATTTAAAGACATTTAAACTGGAATGTTTTAATTTGAGCTTTAACAACCCGGTAGAATCCATATTATAAATGATCAGAATTTACCGTGTGCAACACGTTGTCATTGGCAACCATTCACAGCCACTTGCATAACTGTATCGTAGTACTACCTCAGAGTTTCATTCATAAGAGTTTGCCGTGTGCAAAAACTATTAAACCATTGGTCAGGGAAAGCTTTAATTAATTATTCATGTGCCAAAGTTGAAAGTTTAAACTAAGTCTAAACAGTATTTTAGTGATAAGGCAGGGAATGCGTTGCCTTATATAAACTATATAGTCATTGCGCATGACGGGATTGGTGGAATGAGATCACAGAATGTGGAGATGCAGTCCATGTTAAAAAATGACAAACCAAGTCGTACTTTAAAAATTCATAACTTTAAAACTACAACAGCTAAAAATATGATTTTGGTGTTATAATTCTTTAAAAAATTACATCTTTTCAACTATGCCATTGGTTTATTTTTACAAAAAGTTTAAATTTTCTTATCAAAGTCCCTACACTATTGGCCACTATTAGCGGTGCTGACTCTAGCCTCTGGTATGTACGGAATATTAAACATTAAACAAGCTCAACGCTCGAAACAATCGATTAATGTATCGTGATCGTGTGGAATTCGGGAAAGAGAATTACTTTTATTTCAGATTATGATCCGGTGAGTCACAAAATCTGGCAAATTCCGAAATCCGGTATATTCCGGATTCCGGAATCCGGTTGTTCCGGATACATGTAAATCCGGCGGAACCGGATTTCACCGGATAGTGCAAAATCCGGCGGAACCGGATTCCGGACCGGGGTCCGGCACACCCCTAATGGTTTGTTCCCCTGTAGTCTAAATGCAGAGTGTTAAAGGAAATTAAACAATATTTTATACTTACTTTGCTTCTTTCTTGAGAAGTTTATACTTACTTTGCTTCTTTCTTGAGAAGTCTAGTTGACTCACATATTAATAACTTGGTTTTTAAATACACACTGACAGACTCATTTTGAAAGGACAAAAAATTTGTGTTATATTAAAAATAATTTAAACAGTGGTAATCGTAGAAAATAAAAGTCCAACAATTTTGGTTGTGTTACTTTTATTTATCATGATTGTGTACAATTATTTCTTTTTTATTTCATCATTTTGTAAAGTTAGCAAAATGTATCATGTTTATACAACTTCAGCCGGACCCACAGCAGCCACTGACAAAGTGTTTACAGAGGCCGACTGGGCAGATGCAGAAACAGCAGATCCATTAGTCAAATCCCTTATTTTAGCAGAGAAATCTGCTTGGGACTTTATCAAAGAACTTACAGGTTCAGGACTTTTTTCTTTCTTGTGTTACTAAGTTCAATGACATTATATCTAGATTTAAATCTAAATGGTTTGAAGCAATGGGGTGTGGTGGATTGGGGAATCTTGATATAATGAAACGGGTGCGTGTCTAAATTTGATGAGTAATCATGTGTCCATAAGATATGCATTAATTTTACTTGTTACAATGTTAGCTAAATAAAAGTCTCACTTTGGAGGTTAACCTTTTCAATAACCAGACATATTTAATTCGCTGATTTCCCCCACTTTTTTTTTTTATATTCTTCAGCTGATGTTTTTATATTTCTTTTATTTCTGTATTAGATTCTGACAAGATAGATTTGGTTGTCATGAATCCCACACTTGCCCTTGGACCACCTCTGCTAGATGCACAGCAAGATGTAAGTAAAGAATGTTTTAAGAAGAACAAAGCAAATTATAAGACAAATTTAAAAGTTAAAACTGGGGACAATATTATTACGTACACCACCATACACTGATTCATTGCCATTTTGATAAATACCAAATGAATTAATTAATTCAAGTTCCAGTGATTTTAGTAAAAAAAAATTTTTTACTCAAGTTCATAATTAAATCCACACTTAAGTAATATTTGCTAATTAATGTCGAAAATTTAAAACGATTGACGTTATTTTTTTAAAAGGGTGGTTATAGAGCTAGGTATTTGAAATGGGGAACTGTCCCTCTCAAATGATTTTAATTCCTTTTTTTTTTTTTTACCTTACATATCAATTGGTGATTTAAAAAATATGTAATCAATGCCCCAATGACATTAAAAAATGCCATCATCAATTCACATGATTAAATTATAAAAATGTAAGCTTTCCAAAAGATCAGGCCTGTTTACTCCTACAATTTTTGCGTATAATGTACTATTTTGAAATTGTACACCAAGACCTGTCCCAAATACGATTTTAAAAGAAACTAGGTTAAAAATAAATACATTCCAATATTTTTTCCGATTTAAAAAAAATTAAATGAAGGACATTTTCAGTTGTTAGTTATAGCTTGCATTTGCATTCTAGGTTCAACAGTAAATGGATCAAAATACGATTGGTTGGAGATCATTTAAAATTATACATTTGTCCTGCAAGGAAAATGGAGTGGTGTTTATTTAGGAGATTTTGTGTACGGGAGTTTCGGTATATATATTTAATTAAGTCTATAGCATGATAGTGGTGATGATCATATTGTTGCTTTGTGTTTTCATAATGAACTCGCTAGACACTGCAATCGTAATAGCGTAGTCAACCTAGTGACAATTTTAGTCAATTCGGGGCCTTCCTTATAAAACGCCCGGGGTTGTAGATTTTTAAAATTTTGCCTGCAGGAGGGTCTAGGCAGAAAGTACGTAGGTCATTAATAAATTCTGCAATAATCATCCTGAAAGTCCAAAAGTAGCTTATTGAATATCTCAAATGCTGTAAATTTATCACACAATGTTTTGTGGTAATTTTTGTCATAATGTTGCCATTTATTGTCACAAATAAACTTGCTAGATATACTCGGATAGTACTGATTAATAGAGATATTACAGTAATATTTATTCCACAATAAACAGGTCTGATGGACTGACAAGTGGGGTAAAAATATTTGCACATGGTAAATTGAATGGTTAAAAAAAAAAAGAAAAGTTGAGACTTCTTTTATATTTCTTAGCTGAAATTGGGCTTACATCTCCAGGTTGTCAAAATGCTTCTGGACCGAGGTATCACCGGATGCCCCAGAGTTAGTTACTCTGTTGTTGATGTTCGAGATGTTGCTGCAGCACACGTGAAAGCCCTTTTACTTGATAATGTATCAGGTAAGAGCAGGATTTAATTTATTTATCTACTGCTGGGAATCAGAAATACATTTTTAAATCCTGATTAAAATTTGCTCTACCATCTGCACACAATGACCAAAGATAAATTTAACAACACCTAAAAGAATAGTTTTTCATATAAATTCTTTATCAAATTTATAGCAAGCAATATAGGGTGGAGTTAAAAATTGGACAAAACATGCATACAAGTAACACACTTCGTAAGAATCTCAATAAGAATCTCAATTAGTGCCAAATTTCAGCTTGATGTGTTGACTGGAATTGGGTAAAATAGCTGTCCAAAGATTCTGCCAGCCAGCCAGGAACAAAAGTGAAGTTAATATAAAGGATTTTAAAAAGGCTGAATCGGTTCTCCTCGCTAGCTTTTTCTGTGAACATGACTTTTTATATCACCATAAAGGAATATTACCTTCTGTGTCAAGGACACTTAACATTTGTGTAAAGGAAATTTACTGTCTGTGCAAAGGATGCTTACCATCTGTGTAAGCCTTACACTTGAGGCCTACCGTCATTTTGCTGTTAAATTATTCCCATTTTGCTGTTAAATTATTCCGTCCCTATTTTTCAAAAATTATTATATTGTTATGCAATTGTTCTCAGTTTTCTTTCAGCTCTTAACCCTTTCTTCTTTCATACCACCTTTTCAATGTTTTTTTTTTTTATGGCACTCTGTACCACAAATTTGTCCTGAATCTCCTAACTTACTATTGAAAGTGCATTATGACAAATCTCTGGATATTAGTATTAGTTTTTTTCTTTGAGAAGAGAATCATTTGCTGTTTCAGGTTCAGTGTTGAATCTGCTCTAGTGAAAATAAAATTTATTAGCTTCACATTCTTTCCTCCCCAGGAAATCGTCATATTCTTCATGGTGGCAACTTGTGGATGAAAGACATAGCTCTGGCTTTAGCTAAAGAGTTTAAGCCCCAAGGTTAGTTTTTTTTTTTACTCATTTCTCTTTCATGTTCCCTTGGTTTAGTTTGAGGTCTCGAACTATTTATATTGTTTTCATTAATTGTTTCAGGTGAAGAGTATTAGTTATCTCATTCCTTACTATTGGGATAAAATTCATCATTGGGAGTGTCCTGACACACCTCTCCATTTATTTTAGAAAAGCAAACAAAATACTGGAAATTGTAATTCCTATCTTTGTGTGACTTTTTTAAAGTCCCTATATTTTCTTATACCTAATTTATTTCTGGATACATTAAATTATCCACAATTCGTTACATTTTATTTTAAACAGCTGAAAAAGTATTATTCAAAAGTGACTCATTATCCAAGTGTAGTTACTTCACCTTTTTTCGGGACATTATATTCGCCACCTGGAATGAGTTAATTAACATGATACAGTAGACCCCGGTTGTGTCGACGGCCTCAGGGTCCTTGCCATCGAGATAACCGATGATCAAGATAAACTAAAACCAATATGGCGGCAATATATTAACATGTGCTTGAAATTTCTTAATGTACATGATGTAAATGCACATGTTTTTGGAGTTGTTTTTGTACACAACAGCTTTATTGCCATTAGTTTGATGAAGAGATCGGCGTGCTATAAAAATGTACAAACGTGTTTGCTAACAACATAAGGCATTTGTGGAGTCCCACTTTTCCTGATTAACCCGGAATTCAGCGTTCGTGAGGCTAAATATTTTTCAGCTCTGGATTCACAAGTTTTTATTTTCTCTCGCTCCGGATTCTCCAGTTCAGCTTATTATATTCTGGGTCTAACATCAACCTGTAAGAATGCGTGAAAGCCTATATTAAGCGACAAGCGGGTTTGCTATGAATAGAACAGGTACTGCTGCCTTTTGTTTGCAAACCTCTCACTGCACTTTTCTTGTTGTGTAAGTTAGTTGCACGGACAAAGATATTGTAATTTCATTTCAGTTACCGGTACTGCAGTTTGAGGTATGCATGTTTCTGTTGTATATAATTTTCAAAAGGCAGCGATTGGTCATGGGGATCGAGATAACTGAGGTTAAGTGGCAAATTTGGCAGCATTTTGTGCTTGAGATATCAGGGTTCATCGACATAACCGAGGAGAAAATCCTGGGACAAAGAGAGAGTTTGGCGATTTCACTTCAAAAACTTTGAAAAAGCAGGGTTGGCCAGTTATATCCTCAAGATTTATATTCAATAATATGTGACATGTGGATATAAGATTATATTTACTAGAAGTGCTGTGAGTTTGTATGGTCTTAAAAGGCCTTGCACTACTTGTTAGTTTTGACAATATTCATGTAAAAACTTATATTTGTGTTCCTTCTCTCATTAGGCTACAGCATTCACACAATGAGCATCCCCAATGTTGCACTGTGGGGGTTGAGTTTATTTAACAAAACAGCCAAAACCTTCCTGCCTATTGTTGGTAAACAAAGCCAGTTTGACAACACTCGGGTAAGACTTGTATCAGTTAAACATATTAATAATCTAAAAAATGTTATCAATCCTTTTTTTATGAAATGTTGCTAGCTGTACATAATACATTATTCTTGTAAACAACAAGTTACTCTGCTTTTGACCCCTACTTTGGGGAAAAGAAGTAGGCGATTTTATGCTGATATTGTACAGCGCAGATGAAAAATTTCAATCATCTACTCAATATGTTGGTGTTTTTTTAATGAGGGTCCTTTGTTCGCAGATGAAAGATGTGTTGGGTATCACACCAAAAGATGTTAAGGAAACTGTAGTGGAAGAGGCCAATGTTCTCATTGAGAAAGGCCTTGTCAAAAAGCCCAAACGTGTTCGGTGCCAAGGTGGAGCTGCAGCAGCAGAAGGGGAGGCTAAGGCAGAAGATGGGTCAGAGAAAAAGGAAGGTGAAAGTGAGGAAAAGCCTAAAGAGAATGGAGAGGTTAAAGATGAAGATGCTGAGAAAAAGGAAGAAGAGAAAGAGGAGGGTAAAGGTGATGAAAAAAGTGAAGAAAAGGCAGATGAGGAGGAGAAGAAAGAAGACAAACCTGTTGATGATGAGGTCAAGCCAGATGTCCCTGCAGATACAACAGATGCTAAAGCAGAGAATTAGCTACTTAATAATGGTATCATTAATTATTGACTTTTTAATATTGTTCCTTGCCGCCATGGTGAAAGTTGAGATTTAATTTTTGCTATTTCTCCAATTTTCCTGAAAATGGCATGGGTGGAGAATATTACATGATCACTAATATAACATTTCTTTAAGTTTTTTTTTTTTTTTGGTTTAAAAAAAAAAAAATAGATTGTCACATGATTTTGAAACTGAGATTGAGTTGTTGTTTACCTGCTTTCTTTGTGCCAACCTCAGAACGGAGTATGTTTTCCATGTATATCTATTTGTATTTCAAAGTGAATAGTTGAGAGGGTTGCTGACTTATAAAATAAAATGTGTGTAAAATCTCATCATGTTTTGATGCTGTACACACTTGAACATTTGAATGTAGACTAACATTTTCTTTCAACAATAGATGTCAGTTTTTTTATTTTGAAAAAATTGCACATCTTTAACCAAATTAATTAAATTACGAAAAATTAGCGCAATCTTCTCTCAATCTTTTACAATAAGCCGGCAGTTGTGCTTTTTTTGTATGAAACACATACATAACAACACGATAGTCTAAATAAGTTGTTTCTTGTTATTAATTTAAAAAAAAAAAAAAATATTTTCATCAAAACTTATTGTGCAGCATCATCATTATAAAAAATTGTATTTTATTGTGCTACCTGTCATTTCACATTTTGGTCTCTTTAGTAAATTCTAAATTTAGATTTGTAATAATTTGAGTATCTATGAGATGGTGTTATGTCAAACAACTTTCGTCATCATTTTTTTTTTTATGTCATGTCGACATTATGTATCCTTCACCCGCTTGCAAACATGCTATGTCATAATTTGAGGCATAAAAGAGCTGCCAATGCTTTTGGTGTTCGATGGCTCAATAACTATTTTTTTAACAATGACAATTATTTAAAAGTGGCTCTTTTGCCATTTACACCAAATACATGTGGGTTTTTTTTGTTGTTTTTTTATTTTCATGATTTGACAATGACTAACATGATTTCAGTATCACTTAAATTAACTGATGAAGCTGTGTCTTTTCAGCAGAATGTTCACGGCTGTCTTGAATAGCATCAGAGCTGAAAATAATTATTTTTTCTATTCGAGAGTCATGGAAGTTTTTTTGTTTGTTTTTTTTTCTCTTTGTATTAAATAATGTTGATTGATTGATTGTCAATTTCAAATGTTTTATTGTTCTATCATTTCATGTCCCATAAGTTTAAATGTAAAGTCAGCTTACTGATTTTGATGCCTTATTCGATTTGCACACCCATCCAGTTCTGGGTATCAGTAATATTTTTTTTGTTCTGTAAAAACTACAACAAAGTTTGCATATTTGGACAGGATAGTTGTCTTAGGTTTAGTGGTGTTGTTTTTCTTTTTAATGCAGTATATTTTATCAAGGGTGAACCAAAATATGATAACACAAATACTTTGTTTGGTTTCAACTGTTAATATTTTGTTTGCATTCCCAAAGTGAATTCAGTTAAGATTTCACACAAAAACAAAAATGATGAAAGTATTCAGCATTCTCAATTGTACTTAATTCCACTTTTATATTTTACTTGTAAAATAAGATTCCATGTTTTTCATAACTCAATTTTTACTTTTTTATTATTAAAAAAAACTACACAATTATATTATTAACCCACGAACTGTCATATGCAAACTTGCTGAGGTGTCAACTCTTTTTTTAGAACTTTGATATGTATCACTTAACTATCCAAAACTACTAGAAAATGAATCCAGAGACCCATTAAGTATAGCTATTTTGAGAGTAATTTGGACTAGGAATCAAATGGTATGAATGTTGGAATTCTGTGAGCTTTGTGAAATGAATGTGACCTTGACCTTTCAGTTCAACAGTGAGTACAATTAGACTACTGTCTTCATCTCATACCCACACTGACTTTTACCTTCTTTTTATCATCTTAATAAGTTTTTCAGGCAAATAAAACAATATCTTTCAGTTTAGAAAATATAAAGTTACAGGGTATATGGATTTATCCCTGTGTATCAAAAAAGTTATTTGTGACTCACATATTTCTTTACATAATGCTTATTCATTAGTATCCTATTTTCCACTACATCCACTAATAGATTTTGAACTGCTATTAGTGCTAGCCCCACTTTTGTGATTATCACCACCATGAGTAATGCCAACAAAACTGTCTTCAAAATCGCTTTCATTAAGAAATAATTCAAATACATAAGGTTTTTATTTTAAATGCCCAATATCTGATTTCTACAAGTTAGTTTTAACCAAAAGAAGAAAAAAAATCAGAAAATTTCAGCTGGATAAAAAAATAATTATCTTTTAAAATAATATGTGCTATATTTACCTTAGTTCTCTATTGATATGATTTACTAATTAGCCCCTTTTTAAAAACTCTTAAAACTTCTGATTTCCTATTATAATATTAAGTTTACCACTGGCCCATTATTTTGGCCATAACACCACAGAAGTAGCAGAACAACCAATCATTGGCTGTTATGACAGTTTGTGGGTTAAGTACATTTTACAATTTTAAGTCAAAATTAAGCTTTAGATTGGACCAATTATTATTTAATGAGAGGATTTATTTATTTTGTTAAATTTGTACATTTATCTATTTAAATTTTAATTCAAAGATATTTTCTCTGCTATAAAAATTCTAATACTAATATAGGATTAAATTCTTTTTATATTATTTAAAATGTAAATTCAACATTGTATGAAAATATACACTTTTTATTAACATTTGGCTGTATTAATATTCTACCTGCCAATCGTGAACAAATTGTGCATTCTTGCCTGAATTAAACAAATTTTTTATATCTGGGTATATATTATCTTATTCTGGGGACAGTTAAAATGTGTCCTATTTTTAATCAAAAAATGTATGCAATAGTGAATTTTTAAATATTTTTTGTTTACACAGACAAATCAAAGTCCAGCAATTTGGTATCATTTTTGCTAGTAAGGCAATCATCTACCTTATATTTACAAAATACAGTAGCATCTTATTCATTTGATCTGATTTTCATTATAAACATTGTGTTGTGTTGAGAAGATGTATAATCAAATCATTTTTAGATTCTGGTCAACTTATGTACGTATTACAAGGGTATTATTATTATTTTTATTTTTGGTCACTTTGAAATTTTCAAACTTAAGCAATTAATGTGGAAATTGAAGGTATTTTATAGAGAATTACCATACTGCAATCTAACATCATATATTTTTATACCCAAAGTATTATTATTTATTTATGTAAGCCAGTATTTTATATTTTCACATTTTATTTTCTGCAAAACCAATTTGAAGCTTACATTTTTTTAACAGAAGTCATTACTGTTTAACCTACTTAATTGTTGTGTATTGATAATTGATTGCCAATGCCCAATTCCTAAAACATGCATTTCTTCTGTTGAGTTTTTCTGTGAAACCCATTGGAATGGATCCATTTGTGTGATTATGCTAAAATACTCCTATCATCACCTTCTATGTTACATTGATAAGATCTGCAAGCAAACAAAACATGGTAGCATTTGTGTTCAACTTTTAAAAAAACTTCTTTAATACTTTTGTAATTATTTTTTTTTAGTTAGCCCCCACCATGGTGCTTTTTAAAACTTTTTTTTTTTACATTAATGATCCCCATTTGTAACCGCCTTGATCTGAAATAAGTTGACAAGAGATTCCAGCATTTTGTAAGGGTTTTTCCCTACAACACTTGTTGGTAGGACTATGAAACTGATGTTCGTTTTAAGCTGCTGACCAATATATAATACAGGAAAAATTCAGTCATTTTTTATTTGTTAATTGTTCATACAGCTGTCCCAGGAAAGCTAAATTACAGGTGTACTTAATTTCTCTAGTTAAGTCCCTAGGGGTAAGCTTTTCAGTGTTTATTTTTAGTATGTATCCACCGTTTTTGGTGCCGGTACATAAATTAAAAACAACCGCTAGCGGTCAAAAGTTGACATTAACATGAAGCTTTTCTTTGTCAGCCTAATTGAAACTGACCAATGAATAAAAAAAAAAGTAAAGATCATAATAGATGTTCAATGCGTGCAGCATAATTGATGAAACAGGTGCTGTCTTTCTTCCCAGCCGTAACTGTTACTTGCTTTCAGTAGGATCTTTAAGGTGGCCGCATGTTCATGTCTAGTTAAGTTTCTGCTGCTTAAAGTATTATTTTTGCCTGATTGTCTTTGGTTTATCTTTGACGGAGCTTGTGTATAATTATGTAACGGCTGGCATTTATTTACACATAACATCACATTTTAGGTCTAACATTTAAAATAGTTGATAACTTTTAGTACCAATACATTTATATTATTCTCTTCTTGGGTTAGTATGAGGTGTTGAATTGGTGCCCTCATCTAAGGCTAGTATGAGATGTTGGATTTATAGCCCATGTCTCATGTTACTATGAGATGTCGGATTAGTGCTTTAGTATTAGATCTTGGGTTAGTGCCCTCATCTTAATTTATATGAGATTTTGGATTAGTCATCTTAGAATATTTAGTATCAGATTTTTGTGGTGTAAAAAGCCTCTCTTCTTGGAAATTAAATAATGGGAGATGATGGCAAATTTTGATTATTTGGCATATTTAGTGGAAAGATTTGAAATAATGTTACTAGTGCTGATGATAATTGTCTTTACTTAGATTTAGCTATAGAATACATTACAATGAATTGATTGTATGCAAAAAAAAAAAAAAGTCAAATATATTTTTAGCAGTTGTATTATATAATAATTGCAATTATTGTGCGGAAATGTCCACAGTTATTGAAATTCTTACAAATACAAAGAAGAAGAAAATATGTACCTAACAAATATTAACATGAAGATAACGTATGTTTTATATATTCGGACAATTGTGAAGGTTTTTTTTTTCACCCCAAAGTATTAGAAAGCATTGAAGCTACTAAGCTTATGTTTTTTGGGAGAACTTTTTTTTTTTTGTTGGAGAAAGAATTGTCATTGAAGTCATATTTAATTATTTTATAGTCTGATCCTTTTGGTTCACCAAATGTAAGTAGAATTAAATCCTTGGACACCATTGACACTTTCCGAATAAGAAATATAATATAATGTGAAGATGCTGCCTGGTGCTTCAATTCATACACAGTAAACATGTCATCTTATTGTCATATGGACACTTTGCCTTGCCGCCTGCTTAGCTCATTTTTTGCTATATACTTGTCATGTGCCTACATTTTTGTTTACAAACTTGAGATACTGATATTTATATATATTGTCACTTGTGAGGCATTGCTTTTTTGGTTTGGCTTTATTTGAAATCACTTCTAGAAGCCTGTGAAGCCATCTTAACTCTGTGGACAAAATCCGTACCATACATGAATGATACCTAAAGCCAGATGAAACAACACCATTCCAAAACCTAGTGCTTGATGGATGTCTGCATATATTTTTTTAAAGCATTTATCTGTGACTTACATTCACATTTAAATTGAGCATCCACTGGATCACTGAATGTGGAGCTGTTTGACAATGGCACTTTGGCTGTTTCATCTACTGCTCATAACATCTGTATATTTCTGACAGTCACAATATATCAGCTGTTCCATCTACCTGCACATAACATCAATGTCAGTTACATTTGTGACGGTCACATTTTATCAGCTGTTCCATCTGCCGCTCCTAACATCAGTAGAAATCATATTTGAAACAGGGACCAAATGAGCATCCATTCAAACTAACTACCGTTCAAACTAACCACCGGTAGTTGGCCCACTTATTTGATCATCTTAAAAGAGTCAGTTGCTCAAAGATTGGAAATCTCTGAGATAATCTGTTGTGTTTTTTATTGGAATGACTCCCCCCTGTCGTTTTGTGTCTCTTAGTCATTTTGTTTTTGGCAGATCAACATTTTACTCTTATGAAATTATTAATTTTTTTTTCATTGCTCTGATCAAAAATAATGTCAGCATTTTTGTTTATTGTAGTGAGTCTTAAGACAAGCAGCATGTGTTTCATTTTGATGTTCCATTTTTCATATAACTGAATGTAAAAGTTGGTGCAATTTATTGATTTTTTTTTTTTAAAGTTTATCTTCAATAAAATAGTGCAATTTGTTTAGTGATGGGTCAGTTTTGATATTCACCAATAATCCATGACAAACCCCAGAAGCCGACTGAATCAGTTCAACACATTTGTGTTTTAATTATCACTTATTTCAACATCTCAGTGGTGTCTATCAAGTGGTGTCTATTAAAGGAGTTGCCATCAAAACTTGATTGTGTGTACATAGTTATAAATATGAGCTTGTATAAAGTTATTTTCTCTTGTGTATTTGCATGTTGCATTTTTTTTTTCAAAACAAAATTTCCTGGCTTTAATTTTTTTTTTTATTTGCTTCTTGTAACCTCTTATTTTTCTAATTTTAATACTCATACTAGTCTATATTTACATCTTTTAAACTTAATCTGTGAAATATAATGTTTTGCTTTTTAACAAAAATGTAATATTTTAAAATGTTTGATTACTGTTCCATAATTTTTCTTTTTTACTCTTTTGGCAATCCCAACTTACAAATTATGTTTCCTTGGTTTATTGACAGAGTGGGGTGTTCGGTTTAGTGGTTAGTAAATTATTTTTTTCCTTTCAACCAAAAATAAATTAAAATATTATTTTAAAACATTATTTTATTTTTTCTTGCCCGATTTGTTTGTATTTTAAGCTATATTCTCATTGGGCTACAAATGCAGTTGTTCATCTTGTAGAAATATGCTTTATCTATTACCATTAGGTCATGATTTTGTAACACAGCCAGCAAGGTAATGCTGCTAGGAGGCAATCAAATCACTGGCTATGTTGAAACATTGATGTAATTTTGTTCCTTGAATTGCTCCAGCTTGCCTTTTCAATTTTCAGTGTCTGAGTTGGTCTAGTAAATTTATGAGATATTTTTGATACTCCTGTGTTCCCAAGTTTTGGTTACAGCACACCTTCAACCTAAGGTGGACTCACAATTTACAATCCCAATTGCAGTTCACCTAATTATGAAATCATTGTTTAAGTTTCACGCAGGTTTCACGCCAATCCCTTCTACCTAGGAATCTCCAATTTAAAAAGTGTTCCATAATACATTATTCTTAAGCGAAATCATTTCTAATGACCAGCTTTAAAAAAATATATAAAACAAATTTCCCTCTGCGTCACGATGTACAAATTTTAGTTGAATTTTATTTGTGTTCTTAACATGTTGCCTAACCCTGCTCTTGATATAATTACTGCTATTACTGCTCAACTATAACTTCGCACTTAATGATGGAATAAAAACTTTTATTTAGAAAAATCTCCCGAGATATTTTTGTGTTATTTCTTAGTCCTTGTCTTCTCAGACACACTCCTTTTCAGACACTTTTTTAGACACTTCTCCTCAATTCTCTCCTTCTCAGACACACTTCTCCTGAGACACTCACTGATTCTCTTTCTTCTCACAAACTACTTCTTCTCAAACACTCACGCTAGGAAATCTTTTGCTCAGAGACACTTCCTTTTTCAGGCACAGTTCTTTTGACACTTCTCGTATACTTCTCAGAATAGGCTTGACACAATTTATATGTGCCAAGAATGAGAAAACGGTCACAATGAGCTCATTTAAAAGGATGACATTTCGTATTTCAAAAAAAGTTCACGGAATTAAGAGTTAACATATACCTCACAATCTGTTAGATCCTTGATGGACAATATACGTAAATGTAATGAATTTAGGAATATATCTTCTAATTTCTATATATTAAAGGCCCACGATCAATTTACCGGTATTGATTATTCTGGCTCCTATGTAGAAGGATTTGCAATGTTTCTGTGCCTGGTGTTGAAGATATTTCACTGGTTGCGAGGGTAATCAGTAATATAATTATAATGATCTTTTATACAGCCACAATCGACGCAATATAAGTAATATTTGCTAGATCCTCGACGGACGTAATATAAGTAATATTTGCTAGATCCATGGGCGCCCGCAGGTAGGGGCAAGGGGGGGGTGGGCGCCCCCCTCCCCCCTGGATTGATTGGATAAAAAATGTTTAGACAAAAATAGACAAAAAATGTATTAAAGTAAAGAGAAAATAAAGAGAAAGTAACTAAGCTGATGCCCTGTCCGTTCGTTCACCATACAAATACGCTACAGTAAATTAAAACTATATTAAAACATTACTAAAAAAATTTTGCCCCCCCCCCCTAGAAAGTTTTCTGCGGGCGCCCATGCCTACAGGTGTGGTGTGGTCTATAGAGGCCTACAGATATGGTTTGGTCTATAGAGGCCTACATGTGTGGTGTGGTCTATAGAGCCTACAGGTGTGGTGTGGTCTATATAGGCCTACAGGTGTGGTGTGGTCTATAGAGGCCTACAGTTGTGGTGTGGTCTATAGAGGCCTACAGGTGTGGTGTGGTCTATAGAGGCATACAGGTGTGGTGTGGTCTATAGAGGCCTACAGGTGTGGTGTGGTCTATAGAGGCCTACAGGTGTGTTGTGGTCTATATAGGCCTACAGGTGTGTTGTGGTCTATATAGGCCTACAGGTGCTTTGCCTACAGGTGCTTTGCCTACACATGCGTATGGCCTGGGGGAGGGGGATTCCCAGCATAAAGTACGTAGATTTATTCACAGATTATGCAACAATTTTCTTGAAACTCTGACAGCCCATAATAAGCATGCATATATACATATTCATACATACAGGGTGGGCCAATAAAAGTGAGAACATCTCGTAGCATTTGAGTTATTTCAAAATATAATTTAATTAATTATAACTCTTCATGGATTTTTTTTTTTTTTTTTTTTTTTTGCAAAATATTTAGCTAATCAGAAATTATGTTCAATGTGTCCTCCTTGCTGCTCAACTATTGAAGATAGTATGGGTATAGTTAAACTTAATTTGATGTGATTAAATCACATTTTACGAGATGTTCTCACTTTTATTTGCGCACCCTGTAGATATAGATATAGATATACTAATATAGATATAGATATATTTACTGGCCTCCGTCCGTCACAATGTGACGATGGTGTGGAATTCGCAGGACGAAATCCACAAGGCCTGTGATTCTTACTTCTAGGATTATAAGCTGGTTCCCAACAGCTAAATCGCCTCTCTCCACGCCGCTGGATAAGCCCCAATGGAACATCGTCAAGAGGATACAGCTTGGCACCAGTGACGTCGCAGGAGTTGTCAGAATGCTTCATTGTACCAATGTCATCCGCCTACGGGACTCCATCTCCGGGTTTGGCATCCGCTAGTGCTCGACTTATTTTATGGCCTGTGCAACTTACGACCACTCGACTTTACGACCACAATCACTAGCCATATTACATTTCAGATTTATTTCTGCCCCAACCGCCACCTTAGAGGACGCCATTAATGATCCGCGGCCAGGGGGGACCAGTGACCGATAAAATGTTTTCGTACTTGATGATACATTTTGATGTTAATGACAATTTGATGTGTTTTGCGATTGGGAAAATGTTATAGTATTGCCCTGACCTTTATTTTGCATGTTTTGCTAAACCTGCTGGACGCGTACAGTTAATGCAGCGTTCTTCTTCAAGCTTACGATGTAAACGTAAGAAACAAAGGGACGTAAGAGTAGAGATGATACAAATGACATAAAAATGAACATCGAAAAATTATGATTTTGTAACGATAATAAAAGAAATTTATGATATAATTTACTTAAATATTTGTATAACATCACTTCACATTGCTTTACATATAGCGTAGTCAACTTACGACCAAATTGTGCTACGACCGGTCTGTCGGAACCGATCGTGGTCGTAAGTCAAACACTAACTGTATATGTACAGGGCTGTGCAGATCACAAGCGACAACCGGGGTAAATTCTGAAAATGGCGCCCATATGTAGAGAGAGGGATAAAAAGTGCGATATTGAAGCCCCTTGTCTTTGTGAGCTTTAATTCACTATTATATAAGTCCTATCCACCATTGCCAGTGACCCCCGATTAAAGGGTGATTTGCCCCCCCCCTCCCAGAGTGGCGTGGCGCATATTTTGCGAACAACTGGGCTCGCCAAACAGACAGCATTGAAAGCCCGTGACACATGTTTTTTTTAGATTGATTTAGTTGTTTTGTTGTTGTTTTTTTTGTTTTGTTTTTTTGTTTTTTTTTTGGGGGGGGGGGNTTTTTTGGGGGGGGGGGGTGGAGATGGTGGCGATGGTATGTATACACAGGTGGGTGAGGGCAGGTGGGTGAGGGCAGGTTGGTGAGGGATCCTCGGTAGTAGTAGTAGGTTTTTTTGTCCTAAAAAAACGCACACAACAAAAAGAAAAAAGGGGGGGGGTGGGGATAACCAGAGTTCTTTTGCGCACGTACTATATGGATGGCCCTTATGTGCAATATAGGCATTACATTTTGGATACATATGCCCTCTGGTCTGAGCTAGTTATGCCAATGGTCCAGATTTCATTCTTGAAACAACGGATTTAAATGCAACTCAATTTGTCAACATCAAATAAATTGACATAGTTTGGAAGTGATAAAAAATTTTTTTACCTATTTAAAAATGTGTGTTTGGGGGGGGGGGGGGATCCACTGAATTAATATTTTTTTTTTTTGTTCATTGGGATAGTTGAGCATATTCAGAAGCAAATATCAAACACTACATTTTAAAGGGAAATAGTGATTGAACATAAAACTGTTTTTTTTTATAATTGGATTTTTTGTTTATTTCATTTCCTTTGGTCTATTAAAAACAAACAGCATAAAATATGAATTTTCAACAACTCAATAAAATAAATAATCTATTTGTATTTTTTTGGTTATGTCAATAGAAAGTATGTTTTAAAAACCGGAAACTACAATTGACCAATCATAAGATGTTACAACCAGCGGCACTCCAGCGAAAAAAACAAAAAAAGGTCAGGGCAGTGGGAAGTGGCCCGGCCCCCCTTTTACAGTGAGCAGACGCCTGTGTGGAAGGGTGCGTGAGGCTCTTCTGCTTCGTTTGACCTGCACGTCAACCCGGGCGGACATACGCAGCTGTAGGTGGCGTCTCCATCCTCTATGTCTGCACACTGTGCGTTCACACCAGAGCACACCGGCTGCAAAATGGGCAAGAGAAATAGTTTTATGAATGGAGGAACGAAATAAAGGGGAGATCAATCTAGACTAACAACAACAAAATTGTAATCTTTTTTTTTTTTCAACCATAACTTTTTCATCTGTGAATAATAATTCAATCTTGTTCAAATTTTTAAAATAAAAAATTAATATAATAAACAGAATAGCAGTCTTTTAGGATAAACAAATAGTGAGATACAAGAGCAATCGCTAAAAGAAATATGGATGATTAGAACTGTCTCTATGTGATGTATTTACATTTAATTTTAATGTATATTTCAAAAAAAAAAAAAATTTAAAAGCTCATACTACTGATCTTGAACCAAAATTTTAATCCGTAGTAATTAAAATTTAATCTGTTTTCCTCCAAATCGTATTCACCCGTGCTCTTACCATGTCATTGTTACAGACGTATGAGTGGTAGTTCAGGAAGTCGTGTCCTCTCCAACTGCGCTTCAACATCAGCGGAAGTGCAACCGAACACTGACAAGGCTGGGAAACCAGGTTGGTTGGTAGTAGGAGGGAACTAGACACAACGAGAGCCTGTGCAAAGAACATATATATATTTCAATTTTTTTGTTCAATGTACATAATATTTACTTGGTATGTTGGGGGTTGTTTGGTGGAAAAGACCAAGATGGCCGTCGCATTAATCATAGTAGGAGCAAACAAATCTTCACATCTTCTTCATGCCCTAGAGCAGGGACGTGCTGACCCACGACCACGCGACGAGCATTCGTCATGGGCCTTTTTGGGCAGTTATTACTGGATTGGCTGGCTAAAAAAAAAATGAAAACGGTACTACCAATCAACATATTTGAGCTTTAAAACCGTGTTCTTTTTTACATTTTCTAATTGTATAAAAAATTCTGTTTCGAGCGCGTGCAAGATGGAGGCCCCAAAAAAAAAAAAAAAAAAAAAAAAAAAAATAAAAAA